TGCGTGTAGCCGGCTTGTCCGGGCGACTCGCACCCCATCCCTGCTGCCCTTTGCACCAACGCCCCGATGCCGCGGCTGCGGCCGGCCTCACCCGCTCCTGGAGACCCCACGGCGGGTCTGGCCTGGGCTTCGGCTGCCGCCCCTTCCCCGCGACCCTCCCACGCTGGGTGGGTTTCCTCGCTTCCCCGGGCGGTGGCAAGAGAACCGAGCGCGGGGTCCTGCTGTTTCCGCCTCACGGTCTGCCCGTCCCCTCTTCCTCACGTGGTTCTCCCCGCAGCCCCTGACAAGCTCCCCCACGCACCTGCCCCCACCGTCCTGGACCCACCGCCGGCTGCCCTCCCAGCGCGGCCTGCTGGGCCCCCCACCGTCCTTCCCCTCGGGCTCTGACCCATTTGCAGACAGACCAGGGTGCCACATCCGACCTGGCCGTGGGCAGGTCACAAACCTCAGGGAGCCGCTTCCTCAGCTCCCCGCAACACAGTCGGCACAAACGTCCCCTTGCCCCCTCGGTTCCGTGATCTCTCCACACCCCAGACAGCTGGCGAGTGACGCGCACACCCTGCCACGCCGTGTCCCCAGGCACACTCGCCTGCACTCCCACCTGACTCAGCAGACAGCCGCTGCCCGCTTCTGGGGGCGTAAACTCCAGGAGGAGGGGCTTGTCCGCCGTGCTCCCAGACCCCGTGCCTGTAAGCAGCAGGTGCTCAATAACTAGCCGCCGACCTGTATCAACCGTCATGTGTTCCCCTGTGACCCCCGAGACCATACGTTCGTCTTCAGTCTCGTGTTTGCCAAAAGGACGACTGACGTCGCGCTGGGACTGCGGGAGGTGACAGGGCGGGGCGGGCGACGGGAGGGGACGGGGGGGCACCTCCCACGCTGGTGCTGGGTAGGCAGAGGCCCTAACTTCTGTACGCTAAAGGGGCCAGAGAAAAAGATTTCAAAAAATTTTCAAAAACATAAACTAGATTTCATAAAAATTAGACGCTTTTGTTCCAGAAAGAGCACTGCCGAGGGAGCGAACAGACGAGCGGCATGATGGGAGGAAACACTTGCACACCCCACACATGTAAGGGCTGACGTTCAGACAAAAAGGCTCTCACAACTCAGCAACAGCCCAGCTCAAAAACGGACAAAGGACCCGTGTAGATGTTTCTCCAGAGACAACACGCAGCGTCCAACAAGTACAGGCAAGATACCCGACGCCACAGTCCGTGGGGAGATGCAGCCACGCGCTCCCCGCCCTCGCTGGGACGGCAACGTCAAACCAGAAAGCACCGAGCGTTGGCGAGGGCGTGGAGAAGGCGGAGCCCTGTGCTCTGCGGTGAGACGGGGCAGCTCCGTGGGAGCAGCATGGCGGTTCCTCAAGCAGGTGAGCACGGAAGCACCGCGCGATCCAGCAATCCCGCCGCTGGGGATGCACCCGGAAGAGCGAGAGCAGGGTTCACAGGTGTCTGCACACCCGTGTTCACGCAGCACCACGCACCACGCCGGCAGCTGGAGACGCCCCGACGGGTGAACAGAACGTGGCCTAGTCCTGCGACGGAGCATCATCCAGTCACACGGAGGAAGGAGATCCTGACACCTGCTACCACACGGATGAAGTTGAAAACGTCAGTTCAGTGCAACAGCCGCTCACAGGAGGGCGAGCACAGGCGATTCCTCTCATGAGGTCCCAGAGTAGTGAGACCCACAGGAGCACGGTAGGGTGGGACCCATGTCCCTGCACAAGGCCATGCCTGTCCGTGCACACAGCGCGGCGGGAGACAGCAGCGCAGACGAACTGCTGAGGACGCAAACCGGGTGCGGGACGTGAGGTCGCCTGGGCACCCCCCACCCGTCCACGCACCGCTGGACTCTCAGGAGGCCCCCAGTGAACGCACGCGGAGAGGGCGGCTCCGGCACCCTGCACGGCGAGATCACCGTCTGTGGCCCTGGCCCTGCTCCAAGAAGACCTGGGGGTCCCCCACCCACTCGGGGCCTTCTGAATAGCCACAGGTGCGGGTGGGGCCGGGCTGCGCTCCGTGGGTTCTGCGCCGGCCCCGCAGGCCCCCACCAGCTGACCCAGCAAACAGGGCCTTTGGGCACAACCCGCCGGCCTGGTGCTCTCCGCTCCTCTGACACTTGTGCGGGAGGAGGAAGAGCTCTGAGGAAGGGGCTGTCAGCCTTGGAAACTCCGGGCTGAGAAAACACTGTTCGCTCCACGTGGGCTCAGGCCTCCAACGAGAGTGAACACACCATGGAAAAGCCCATTCTGACGCTTTGCGCTGACATCACCTGTGCGTCAGAGATGCTTTGCTGCAGCAGACAGCTCGCGAGTGTTTTGCAGACAGCCGCCTCCTTTCCCCCACGAAGCCCTGTGCCGAGCGTGAGCCTGTTTACTTTGATTTCAAACTGCGGTGTGGTCCCCTCGCTGCTGAGCTAGACGGTGGAGAAAGGACTTAAATTATTCCAAGTTTATTCTTAAAGGCCCTTAACTGGGCCCGGAGGCCTTAATCCCTGAAAGGCCGCGTGGACGAGGGCCGGCCGGCGGCCGCAGTTGCAGCTGGGCGCGCTCGGCCCCGGGACTGAGGTCTGCGCTGGTGGGACGCCTTGGGGAGGCATTCTTTGGTCCCGGCAATTCATTCCTCTTCAGAAAGGGAAGCGGGAAGAAAGGCTTCGCGTCCAGGGCTCTGGGCCTTTGATCACTTGATGAACGCTGGCCTGCGACGGGGCCTCCGGCTTCTCGGGCCAGACAAAGGCGCCGCCTGGCGCACAGGCCGGCCCAGCCCGCCCTAGAACAGAACGCGATGCCTCTCAGGGTGGCGGCCTGGGAAGGGCCCCCTCTCGGCAGGGGCCGCCCTGCCCTGCGAGCTCCCCTGAGACCACGGCCAGGCCCAGGTCAGGGGATTTCGCTCCCCAGCCCCGTGGAGGGAGCAGGTCGGGAGGAGAAAGGGGTGGCTGGTCTCAGAAGAGGTCCCAGCCTGCCCACGCTGGCCAGTTCCACATGGCGGGACGCGCATTGTGAGCCGGCCGCACGCAGGATGGCATCTGACGTTACACGGTACGGTGGACACAGTCAACGGCGGGCTGCGGCGCCCAGACAAGGACGTCCACCCTGCCCCCCACGCAATCCCGAGGCCAGAACACACTTCTCCGGGTTTGCCCTGCTGCGGAGGGGACCCGGGCTCCGTCGTGCGACGTGGCGACGCCAGGGCAGCCCCAGCAGATGTGGGAATTGAGAGCCTCCTGCCCCTGCTCACGGCAAGTCTCCATGTGAAGTAAACGTGCCCCGCGCGGCTCATCCCGCCACGCCGTGGACAGACACAGGCGTGGACGGCAGCACGGTCCGAGCTGCCCAGCCGGCAGCCGGTGTAACAGAAGGGAAACATTTCTGCGGGAGGGCGAAGGAGGAAGGGCCGGGACAGGAAGGAAGCACCAGTCCCCCACTGGCTCCAACAGCTTGCGAAGGACGACGCAGATTTGACGAGACACAGTGGCGATAACGGGCAAGGAAATCGGGGGCTTTTCACGGAAACAGCGAGGGCTGTTACGTCCTAGAACCAAAATAGCGTTACAAGAACACCAGAGTGTTTGCGTTTTGGTTTTGTTTGTGTCTTTTGCTGTTTACAATCCCTGGCTCTAAGCTAATTTAGGGTCCTTAAAACAACATTTGGTGGAACAAAAACCAATTTTGTTTTCTCCCCAGCAGCTGGCAAAGGCGGGCGTGGGGCTCTGGGTGCGGCTCTTGCCAGTGTCGGCGCTAGGACTCTGGGTCACGTGGTCTAGTCCCACACGGGAGGCCACGGCTATGGCTTTATCTTCACACATGTATGTCCTTGGGCTAAAGATTTGTTCTTTTTTTTTTTCTTACCGGAAGAAAAAGGAGAAAAGAAAATTCCTGTTTCGGAATCACTGGCTTCTGCGTGAAACGTGTAGAAACTCATTTCTACAACCAACCTCCGCCCGTCGCTGGGCAAAGGGCGAAGCGGGGTGTTCTGCAGGGCGGGGAGTCCGCACAGGCACACGTATGTGCGTGTGGGAGACGTGCGTGTCCGGATGCGGAGAGCGATTAATTCGCACGTGGGAGAGACGCCACGCGACGTCGCCACCTCGGGGTTTCCCAAGTTCACCGGCACAGCAGGCATCGCGGGGACAACGGGCGTCTTTCAGATATGCCTGGGGCACGCGGGTTCCGGACAGACGGACACGTTTCTCTGGGCGCCTTGGCGTCCCTGCTGCGACGGGCGCACGCGACTCCCCGGGGCGGACTGGCCGGGACCCTCCCTCCGCTGCTGTTCTAAAGGGACGGCCTCGGGCTGGGGCTGGGGTCTGCAGGGCAGCCTTGGAGAAGGGTCAGGCCGGCTCACTCCCCACAGTTCTGTGGGAGAAACTGGGCCCAGAGGGTTCCAAGCTCTGACAACAGGGACACAGCTCGTCGCCGGCAGAACCGGGACCCCTCAGATCCGCCCCGCCGTGTGCATCCTCCTCTTATCTGGTGACGCCCCAGGCTGATCACCCAGTGCTGCCACGAGAGCAGAAGCCCCGGGAGGGCAAGCAGGTTCACTGAGGTAAGAAAGATGTCAGAAGAGCGAGGAAAGGCTTGTCTGAGACAAGTGGTTTGTACCCGAGGGCACTCACTCCCAGAGATTTCTGGTGTGACTCCGGCGTGAAACCCAAACCACAATGTTCCGCAAGTACGGCTTTCTCAACAGTGCAGAGTCACACAAAACACCTTAACGTTTAAAGACCCACAGGTTGCATCCTCCCCAGATCCGATGCTAACGTCATAACGTAGCAACAACTTCCCGTCAAGGACCTACCGTGCGCACAGCGCGTGGGGGCGGTCAGCAAGGGGGGGAGCTGAGAGGAAACGTGCTCGCTGCAAGTCACCCTAACGTGACTCAGGGAAGGGACGACAATCTGCTAATCTTCCGAGGCCTCCTCTGAACAGCCCACCCTACGTTACCATGGCAACGCGGTCCCCGCTCGGAGCCAACCAAGCCTGGGTGCCGGCTCACCTTTGGCCATCTTGTTGAGAACCATGTCGATCAGGATGTAGGTGCCGCTGCGGCCCGCGCCGTCACTGCCAACAGAAGGAGAGTGAGTGAGCGCCGCCATCCGGGAGGTGCACAACCAAGCTAGCGACAGCTACTCCCTCCACGCTGAGGGGCTCTGACGGGAGGGGGGCGGGTGGGCTGGGATCACGCGGTGGGGCAGAAGGGCGGGAACCGGGCAGCTCACGGGACCAGCTCTCTGCTTCTGGGGGCCTGTTTCTTCCTCCGGCCCCCGCTTTGGCCAAAGAGTGGTCGGTTTTGTCAGGAGGGAAAGGGAAATAATGGCTGACTCTGTCAGAGTTGATGGCATTTGTATCAAAAGTGTCTGCAAGGTTCTTTCTCTGTCATCCCTGGGCAGCCTCCGGGCAGAGTGGAGGAGGCTGGCGCAGGCTCTGCTGGCAGCTGTGCTTCTGGCACGTCAGCACCGGCTGCGAGTCGCCCTTTTTAAATTGGTTCTTTGTGAGACGGAGTCTCGCTCTGTCACCCAGGCTGGACTGCAGTGGTGTGATCACAGCTCACTGCAGCCTCGAATTCCTGGGCTCAAGCGATCCTCCTGCCTCAGCCTCCCAAAGTGCTAGGATCACAGGCGTGAGCCACCGCTCCTGGCCAGTCTGCCCTTTTTAAGTGACTGTGGTCCCTCTCAGAAGTAGAAGTATGTGTATCATTTGTTACTTAATCATATTCTTTAAAAAGCACTCTCATTTCATCTCTTTCTCATCCCACCGGCTATAATTGGAATATTTACCATCTGGGCTAGAGCTGTAAAAATGTTTTGAATTCTGCCTCAACAATAGCAAATGAAACAGCGAAAACTCCCTTTCTGGGAGAAGGGCAGCCTCAGTGCCCTGCTTGTTTCACAAGGAACGTGCGGAACCACTTCCTGCCCCCACACAGGGGCCACTGCGGGGCTCCCTGGGTGTGCGGGGCCCTCGGGCACCGCGCCTGCTCTCACGCCAGGGTCGGCCTCTAAACGGAGGACTTTTCACACTATACTCCTAGCAAAATGACTGCAACTTTAAGGGAAAAAATAAATGTTTCCATTTCAAGACTTCAAGAATGGTGTGGCTACGACAAATCACTCTGCTTCCAGTTTCGGGTCGGCCTGCAATCCCGAGACATCGCTGGAAAGCCTCGCTCTTTGACAGAAAAAAATCACTGTGTTTGGCTTTAACATGTTTCCGTGAAGAAATGGCTGAGAAAAGCTGCGGCTGGGAAGACGAGTGTTTCCGTGTTTCACTTTGGTACACGCCTTCACCACGTCACTCAAGGGAGCAGCGCCTGGTCACTGCGAACGACCACGTCTTGCCGCAGAGCGTTTTTCTCACGTGTCTAGCTGCACCGCACACACCCGTGTGCGTATTTTAAGATATGCTACAAACGTCTCCCAACCGACCAGCTTGTCTCGATACGCTTACGGGTAAAAGACGTTCTGTTCTACTCTTTCAGGACACACTCTATTGTCGCACCCCCCCCCAGACAGAAACACACAAATAGGCACACGCACACGCTTGCTTGATTGAATTGGCAGATTTGGTGTTTGATCTTTGGAGAGAGATTTCTTATTTATTCTAGGCAGAAAAGAGCATTCTATAAGACAGTTCTAGAAAAACGGAGTATGATTTCTTTACCTAAAACACTTGAGCATCAAGTCCACTAGAAACAGGAGCGCGAGACTGAGTTTTCTCGCGTGGATCTAGTCCTACTGCTATGGTTTTATGTGAACTAAGGAGAGGAGTCACAGAGCTTTTACTCAAAGGCCCAGACTCATTTGAAGGACTGGCGGTGGCGTGTGCGTGTGCGTGTTTCTGTCTGGAGGCGGCCAACCCCCTTGTAATTACAGATCTTGTCCCTGCTCATCGGTGGCCCTCGCGTCCCCCTGTGTCTGCACAGGGGCCAGACCTCTGCTCACGTACTGGTGGCTGAGACAATGCAAGAGATCGAAAACGCTGTCTCAAAGTTTCTGTGCAATGGCACCACACGCGTGTAAGAGAAAGCAGGGTGGTGAACATGAGCATGTGGAAATAGAGCGGCGCACGGCACAGTGTGTCGCTAGAAAGAAAACAGTCCCGTGTGCAGCTCACATGGATATGGTAGAATAAATACAAACTTATATTTAGCCAAGTGGCTTAGAAAATTAAGTTTGTATCTTTGGTTTCCTTTAGAAACATCAGTTAGCTGTACTTATTAAGCAGTTAGAAAGTTCAGCTTTTATATTTAATTGTATAGATTATTTTTTGAGATAGCAAGAACTCCTTAATCCACGTTAAAAGTTGTACTTGCCTGCAGTGAACAATTATTGGACAAGAACGGCCCCTGTAGCACTTGTTTACTTTTCTGAAATAAAGAGAGATATAAAAATTACAGTCACGTACTGAGACTCCCCATTACCCAAAGTAGCTAATAAGCCAAAGCAACTTTGTCTACATTTTTGAAATCATTTTGCAAAAGTCTGTTTTGACAAAGAAAATCAAAATTACACAATTTTAAAGATTCTTCTTTTCAGTATTAACAGAGCTTTTAAAACAATTCTCACACCTTCGCAATGCTTTTTCCCTTCGCAAGAGAGAATGCCAGGCTCCCAGTCCCCCGCCCGCCGCACCCCCCCCTCGTCCTTTGCTACCGTGGATCTGGCCTTTCCTTGTGATGATCTTGATTCTTCACTAAAACTTTTGAGTTATGCAATTTATGCTCAAAACTTCTTACAGTGTAGACCTCATATTGGACTATAATATTACTGTACTGTCTAGAAATAGCATCTTCAACAGCCTTTTTTATCTGTCAGCTTTTGGTAAGGATATCCAAACTACAGAGAAACCTCAGTGAAGTCCAAGACAAGCCTTTTCCGTTTTTATGAATTTGAGTATGTTTAAAGGCGAACTCCATTGTGCAGATTTTAGGTCGGAAGTTCTGAGTGAACAATGAGCATATATTTAAGATTTCATTACCAACCCTACATCAAAACTGAGGGCCGATTTAAAATTCCCTGTGTAAGCTCCGAGTTTTTTTCTTGATAAAAATTCAATGAAACAACTAGACATGTTTACGAGGTACATCAAAGTTCTCAGTAAAATATTTCCCAATAAATTAAAGACAGGATCTTGGCTTACTGGAAGGAAAAGCGTGCGAGGGGAGCATGCTCTAACGTGTGCCACGCGTGCTCCCACAGTATGAGCGCAAGTTAAAAGTGAAAAGGAAATGACGGAATGCAGCGGAAACGGGGAAATGCCATGTGTCTTTGCAAAGGCCGAACAGTGAGCTGACGGTGGCTTTGCTGCAACCCGTCGGCCAAGGCGCGTGGGTGGCCGTGGGGGGAGGCGGGCGTCCCTGGGACCAGTGGGCTGGGAGATACTTTGCCATCACGGAGCCCAAATGCCAGAGATTTTCTCTGTCTCACTCACTTGCTGCGGAGTGAACAGAACGAGGCGTTTCTGAAGTCAGTCTGGGTCCCCAGCCCGGACGCACAGCGGGAGTTGAGTGCGGCCGCAGGGCCTGGGTAGCACACGGCCACCTCCAGGCCACCGTCAGAGCCCCGTCCAGGCTACACTCGCTCTGCGGCCGGCCCGTTGGGACCGCAGCGCCGTGGAGCAGCCAGAGACACCTTACGGCGGAAAGGCTCCGTGAACAGGATGAGACAAGGCAGTGCCCTCGCGGCCACGCATTCCTGCGCAGCCCGTCACTGCCGCGGGTGTGGGCCGGGCGTCAGGCTGGGGGGGTTGGGCGGAGAACGCAGGCGAGCTCCTTAGAACCGGCAGCGCCCGCGTGCCAGGAGGCCGTCTAGGTTCCTGGTCTTTGCAGAATGCAGACTGGGAAAGAGCCCTCATTTCTACTCCAAATTCCCGTTCCTGACTCAGCCTGCAAAAGCATCGCGAGCCCCAGCTGAAACTGATGCTGGACCCCAGGGACGCACCTTGGGGTGGGCGCCTCTCCCCCAGGAAAGACCGTGTGGGCTCATGCGAGTGTGTGCGTGTGTGCCTGTGTGCACACGTGTGTGCATGCAGAGTCCAGCACGCCGACCATCGGACCACGCCTTGGCTGGCTTTACTTTCGAAGGCCTTTCGCCTTTGGACAGAAGGTCTCACTGGGTCTTTCTCATCCCTGACTCTCGCTAACCTGAACAGCTCCGGCCCTGCCCCTCCGGCTTCCCGCCATTGCAGACGTGACGTGCACTCTGGAAATACTCAACTCCTGCGCGCGGTCCCCATGCTGGTCCATCGCCAGCGTTTGCTCGTTTTTTCACAATGGGACCGAGCACAAAAAACAGGTACATTAAAAATAACAGATACCCTTTTAAAAACTGTCCTGGTTTAAGAAAACATAATTGGAAGAAGTTGGCTGTGTCTCACCACAGCTGGTCAGCTCCCGCCGGCAAAATGCAGTAGGAACCTCTTGGGCTAAGAAATGTCGCTAAAAAGCAGACTCCTGGCTACTGCGGCCACAACGTGCTTCTCCACACCTGTAACTCCCATCTTCATTTTATGGTATATTTAAGGTATCATTTCCCCAGTGTGTTGTGACCGCCTGCCGTGGCAGCCCGAGGGAGGTGTAGCTGTAATTTTCACCCACAGCAGCCCTCAGCCCGCACTGACCCTATTCGCAAACAACCACAAACATCGAGCAGCTGTGCGGGGTCAGCGCAGCGTGCTGGTGCGGCCCAGAACTTTATGACAGAGTCATGCACTGTGTCGTTACACGTGGAGCATCGCAAAGAGAGAAGCACGACCATGGCACGGTGAAGCCAACGTCCGTCCGGTTGACCTAAGACGCAGACCGCAGGTGTTCGCGAGGGTGAACACAGAGCTGACTCCCTCCACTCCATTAGAACAAACCGTCAGCAAGCAAAGGTCTCCACCATGAAGAAAGACTGGTATCATGTGCACTCCGACAGAAGGCAGTCACTGAGAAAGAACGATTAGTGATACAAACCGACCCCCAGGCCACTGAGCGGGAAGGAGCCGCCATGCAAACCGCCAGCAAGCAGGGTCAGAGGTCCTTAGAGGCTCAGAAAAGGGGCTTCCCACATTGTCCCTGCAGCACGGTCACAGTTTCCAATGATCACTTTTGTGACTATGCAACTGGGCTCATATTACTAGCTGCAACATCACAAAAATGACACTGGCCACCGCTAATTGGCTGGCAAAGTAAGGGTCTGTCCGTTTTACAGTGAGCGGTCAGTGTGTGCCGCCGCACAGCGAGGAGGAGAGAGACGGAGAGAGAAGTTTTGAAGCAAAGCCCTCACATGTGATGCTAATTATCTCTTAGCAGTTTCTCTTTAAAGTGTAAATGTGCTCCCTCTGGGCTCCAGAAATATTTAATTACACATCGTGGTGCCTGAGAACACGCCAGGCCGAGTGCGAGTGCGTCTATTGTGCAAAGAGAAGAACCCCGTGGCGTGAGACGGCCGGTGTCTTCAGAAGCCATCGCACCTCCCCAGCTGCTGAGATTTGGGTGGCTGCTTTACACAGGAAACCCTACCAGCGTGCACCTAAGCGTGAGGCTCTCTGGGAACGCGACCGTCCAAGCCGGCCGTCCAGGGACCGCGTCAAAGGCGGCTCGGACGTGGGCAGTGCCATGTGGACCAGCCGGGGACACCTTCCGTCCTGACCAGACTTTCAAGGCTGCGTCTGGGGGTCCATTTTCTTTTCAATTTAACAAAAAGCTGCTTAGGCCACGTCTCCTTAGCCCCTGGAGCACGGGGATTTGGGGAGCCTGGTTTTCCTTTATGACGAATTGTGCACAGAGGTTGGTCATGGGATGTCCGACCCCATATATGGATGTGGGCACAGAAGTCTGCCCACGTGCATATACACACAGGCACACGGAACGTGCACAAAGACGGGCGTCAGCGCACACCGCGTCTTTGCAGCCACATCCATTTTGCCAGTAACGACTGTTGTTCGAAGACTCTATTTCAGGGAACCGTGTACGGCTTCTACACAGACTCTTCAGAAATACATGTGAATTCAGACAATGTATCTAGTGGCCGGGAAGGCGGGGTGGACTGGGAAGGAACGTGTGTCGTGGCTGCTTTAGGATGTGTCTCGGACCCCGGGTCCACCCTCTGTGTTCCTGGGGGAGGTGACAGAGGGGAGGGGTCACTGAATATGCATGGAACGTGGCGCCAGTCACGTGTCTCCTCGGGGAAGCGTGTCCACACGCTACCTGATCCAAAGAACAATTGAAATAAAAAACTCATTTTTCGAAGTAAACTAAAAGGCAAAAGCAACAGTATCACAATAAGCTTGAGAATCTGTAACACACAAATTCAAGAAATCCAGAGATGAGTCTGAAACCCCACCTTCAGGACAGCACAGGCCTTTCTCACCTCCCTGGCGTCACGGAGCCGTGGACCCAGCGATGAAGGACTGTCAGAGAGGAATCCCCGCGACAGGGATGATGCTGGATCACAACTTTGTTTTTAGTTTCTAATTCCTTGTTTGAATATTTATCTGTTTTCCTTAGGAGGCAGATTTCCTATCAGTTAAATGTGAGACACGTGCTATCAATTCAGAACTCGGCTATTGATGCTGCCTGACAATTTCATCTCTTTTTCAGTTGTTTGTTCACTTGCTACCATTAAATGGCCAATGTGAACCGACCATCTATCACCGAGTGTGATGTACCCTCCAGGTTCTGTCTTAAAGGATGCTCGCTTTTTGCAGTTTCTCCCTGTGAGAGTCTAGCATCTGTTTTAAGCGTTCGATGAACACGCTTCAGAGGAGGACAGCTCACTGGGTGACTAGCTCACTAGAGCAATGAACAAAAACTGGAATTTACTTTAAACTCTTAACTTCAAAATAGCACTAAAATATAATATATACACAATCACGTGCTAACTATCTCCAGGCTTCCATCCAAGACCACCGTCCACTTTAGAACCTGGGCCTGCACTTGCTAAAGCTCGTCGCGAGTGCGAGCAGGTGAGCGTCCCGACTAAAACTCTGAGCCCCACTCGCCAGTACCCGTGACGTGTGAACTGCAGGACGCTGTCAGTGCAAGAATGTTATCAGAACAGTGACCACATTTCCACGGTTCTAGGATGCCCGTCCCCCCAGATTGTAACACCTCCGAAACTAGAATACATCTCACAATAAATACGCACAGTCAACACCACCCTCTTCCCTTCCCTTCCCGCCGTCACGAACGGTGCATCTGGTAGCAGGTGGCATCTTAGAAACGAGGAAATCTGGCATTGGGTCATGCACCCTGCTCTCGACGGCTCCCTGTCACGGCACCAGTCTGCTGGCGGGCTCTTGGTCGTACCTGCGGAAGTCCAGCAGCGACCTCGCGGAGGAAGGCACTCCCTGGTCATACCAGCTCAGGAAGTGGAACTGGGTCACCGTGCGCGTCTCGTTGGTTTGCAGGTTCTTCAGGTAAAAGCTCCTCACCAGGAAGTCCTCACACCAGATGTGCTCAGAGACCAGATTGACCTGGACAGAGGCGAGAGGCAGGGAGGGAGACAAAAAGGGCGGGCATCACGCATCCCTGCCGGACACGGAGCCAGGTGTGGGGAGAGGGGCAAGTGCTACAGAGAAGGCTGGTTTCCTATCAGTGGCCCCTCCCACCTGCTCAGTGTGAACACGGCGTATGCAAAGATGGCTGTGTGTGTTTGCACGTGTGCATGCATGAGTGTGCATGCGCCTGTTCAATGTCACTTAGGGGCTTGACGGGCAATTTATTAAATAAATTTAGAGACAGAGTCTCCTTCTGTCACCTGGGCTAGAGTGCCGTGGTGTCAGCCTAGCTCACAGCAACCTCAAATGCCTGGGCTCAAGCGATCCTTCTGCCTCAGCCTCCCAAGTAGCTGGGACTGCAGGTGCAAACCACCATGCCCAGCTAATTTTTTCTATTTTTAGTGGAGACAGGCTCTTGCTCTTGCTCAGGGTGGCCTCGAACTCCTGACCTCAAGTGATCCACCCGCCTTGGCCTCCCAGAGTGCTGGGATTACAGGCGTGAGCCACCATGCCCAGCCCCAGGCAAATAATTTTAAAAATATACTACAATCCTAAACTACTCCAGTTTTTTTTGATTTTTGTGTTTCTAAATCATAAACCTTCAAGAAAAGTAACCGGGGAAAAATTATACTTTTAACCAAAACCATCAACACAACTGTGTGTTCCTCCAAATGGTTCCACTCTCACTGGGACGTCAGCAGAGGCAGCGAGCGCCTGCGTATGCGACAGGGCACAAGAGCCACGTGGACACACAAGCGCAGACCGAGCTCGGACACTGCTCGCGTGACCTCGGCGCCACTCCGTGATGTGGAATTCACGTTTACGTTCTAACACACGTCCTACTGTGGGACTTTGGCATGCTGACTAGTTTCGATGCAAAACAGAACCAAAGGTGCATTCCAGGACTCGTTTAAATGCCCGAGCGTATTTAGTTCGCTCTCGATGTGGGTAGAAAATCTAGCAAGAGAAATAAACTTGTTGGCAGGTTGTCCTCAAATAAAAAGAGAGACGGTGCAGACACGAAACTTGAAGAGTGCCGTGGGCAGACCACGCAGCTCAGCAACAGAATCGACAAGCCATCTGAGGAGCGGCTGGGCTCTTTGTGAAAAGGACCCCACCTAAGGGCCTGTTTAGGTTCTACGGCACCAGGACCACGCTGTCGGGGATTTTTTTTATTCTTTCAGCATTTGGGTTTATAACATTGAGAAAATGAAAACCACACCATTTACCCCGGGGCACAGTTCACAACCACACAGCTGTTGGGAGTGTCTGGTCTCCACTGGCCTCGCTCCCTCCGAGGACGGGAGTCTGACCGTCCCCACGCAGGGCGAGCTCCAGCCTCGCAGGCGGGACTGGCCAGGCCGCCGCCACCTGTGCGAGTTCTGCTCACAGGAGGACGGGGACGCGGAGGCAGGCCCGGCCTGGGCGCTGCCCGCTCTGGGGCAGGTGCCCTCTGAGTACCTCGTAGACGTGGTAGAGGTTGGAGCCTTCGTCCGGCCAGTAGTGGTGGCACTGCCTGACGCCGTTCTCCGTGAGGGGGGCCAGCATGACGATGACCGCGCAGCCGCTCTCCCACACCATCTGCAGACAGAGAGAGGCCGCGGCCGCGGCGTGACTGTTCTGATCACTGCATGACACGTGTGAGGACTGCACTCAGAGACACGGCCCGAATTTATTCCATTCACAGGAAATTTATTTCATTTTCATTAGACACAATTTCTCTGCAGCTGCTGGTATAGCTCTGGAGACACTGGCCCTCTATTTTGCATGCTGCATGAAATATTAAAAAAAAATCTAGTGGACTCATCCCACACCATTTAAAACCTCCTCAGTTCCCTGTTCAGCTGTTTGACTTAACTTTTGACCTATAAAGGAAACTTTCCGTAATGCAACACAAAACGGACAGCAGGCAGACTGACGCTACAGGAAAACGTTCTCTTCCACGTGACAGGAAGTGCGATCGGTTGACACCCTCGTTTTCTGGTGTCGCCACTATTTTGCACGACCAGAGAAACACTTTGCTTTGTGGAGCTGCTGTCCTATCAGAAGCAGGCACTGAAAGGTTTCTTTTCAAAGTAGATCACAGAAAGCAACACTGTCCTGGTGGAATTTCACTTACTCATACCAAAACATTGCAGTCCTGTTCAAATTAAAGCAAACCCCAAACTGATTTACTAATTCATAACAGCCACGTTGAGAACAGCTCCAAGACACAATCGACACGTGGACGCAGGTCCAAACATGCAGCAGTGACAAAGATGCAGCGTCCTCCACCGCGCTGCTTTGCAGCGCAACTCCCCACTTTGTGGCCGTAAACCTGCATGTTAACACTTACGGCCTAACTGCTCGGAACCACTGCTTCTGTGGGGCGCACTGATGTAGCGTTTGGAGACTTTCATTAGCATATTAAATTACAGAGTGAAGAGGGGTCTACTCTTCCCGCAATGGGTCACATTAACTTCACAGAAATGTTTACAAGCAACTGCATTTAGATGGAAATTTGGTACCCGAGAGAGCTTCTATTTCTTTTAAATACAGATAAAAAAATCCGACTAAGATCTTGCTATTTAAAAAGTGCACGTATCCCACATGTAAGATGCTTTCTCATCATAGTTCATGCTATTAAATCCGCCTTTAAATTATATTTTTGAAATCAGACACGTGCACGGTGTTCTCCTCCTTTAATACTGGCGATATTCCCAGGGCCCACATCCCTGAGGCAGCTCACTGTGCTTTGTCCACGTCGGACCTTAATGGGAACTGCTGGCGTATTTACAAGAAACCCACAAATAAAAGTGAATTGTGCCGAACGCGCGCACCTTCTTTCCCTTCGTGCCAACCCGACGAGACGAGAATTCCAAACGTGCTTCTTACTTTACGCTGCTCGGGCGCTCGGACCTGCTCCGCCCATCGGCACTTGGCTCACGTAACAACTTAATGTGCCTTTAGGAGGCAGAGGCCTCATTGAAGCCATTATGAAAATGAGGAAAAACACAGACTTTATGAGGGTAATAAAAACACAATGATCGCGACCATAAACTAATCATCCGGCGCTCCGCCTGCGCCACCCAAGTGTGACATTACGGAGCCCCTCGCCGCAGAGGGTCCTTGCGGCGGGGCGGCCTCTCTCCTTGGCTCCCGTCGCCCCACCCGTCACAGGGCCGTCATAGGGCCGTCCGTGCTCTCTGAAGACTTGGCTAAGATTAAATCCAAATGAAACTTAATTTAAACACACAATCCCAAAGGCACCCTGGGGAATAATATTTCTTTTTAGGTCGCTGTGTGTAAAGGCAGAGAGGGGGATTTGCTGAATCGAGCCAACAGGCAGCCCACCTGGGCAGCGACATCGCAAGCCGTTCACGGATCCCAGTGCATCATGGCACGCCCCCTGGCTCCGCTCGTAGCCGCCCGCCTGGCAGGGAAACCGGCACCCACTGAGCAGTTCCCACCCTTGGCTACGGTGCCTGGGCAGCTTAACTCAGAACATGCGGGGAGAGTTTACCTTGGATTTTGGTGGGAACATAGAATATCAGTAAAAATTCCAGTCCACGAAAGTTCAATTTCTAAACAGGGAGAAGTTTCACTATTTTCCTCCTCCTTGGCTTGGTCTTTGTTTGCGGGTGAAATGCAGGAAGGTGCCATTTGTGTGACAGACCTGTGATCAATCTAACACTGCCTCTTCCGGGAAGGAAATAAAGACCCCACACCCTATTTGCTCTTGGTGCAGTTCACTGGACTAGGCAGTTCACGGAATTCCAGAAACGGCAGTTTCTAGCACTTTGTTTGGTTAAGTATCAGAAAATACAACACTCACGGTCACCCACTCGTTCGACACCCTAATTGAGCACCTATTTATGGGGCAGGCATCTGGCTGGGGATTCCAGAGGGGACAAGAAATCCCCGCCAGTAGCAGGGTGGCAAAATGTCCCCGTGTCACCGCCTTCTGTGGCCCACCGCGGCGCTCCAGTTTGCAGTTATAGGATCACGTTTCCCAGGCAGGAAGCAGGCGCCGCCATGCCTAGATCAGAGCAAAGCCAACTGGATTAGAAAGAAGCCTGACGTGCCAGACCCCAGGTGTGAAGTTGGGGTGCTGCACTCCAGAGGAGAATTTGAAACGCCCTGTTCTGCAAGCTTCTCCCCAAACGCACCAACCCCACGCCTCAGAAGTGCACCTGGATGGCTCCAAATGTCACGATCCCGCATGCCTGGGGCAGGAGTGGGGAGCGGCTCCTGCAGTCCCGCCGGCTCCTTCACCGCAGTGTGGGCTGGAGGAGGCAGGTGGCCAGCCGGGCGGCTCTCAGCTGTCCAAGAACCGCGGCAAACGCCTGCTGCCGTCGCTGTGGAGCCAGCCCATCGTGACTCCCTCTAAGACGACACAGAGCTCATGGTGACGACTACAGCCAAGCCACCCTGGCGTGGGGTCTTCTGTACAGTTACTCCGGAGCAAGCAGGTGGAGAAATTAACATTTAGTAACTCAGATGCTGACCCACACTTTGGCTGCTGTTTGATCCAGGTGAGTGAGTTTGCCGACGGTGGATTGAAAAGCCGCGCTTCTCTGTTCCGGGTTGAACTGCATCCTTCCAGGGGACATGCTGAAGTCCTACCCAGGTCCTGTGAATCTGTTTGCAAACAGAACCTCTGCAGACGCAATCGAGTCAAGATGGGGCTACACTTGATGGGAGCGGGCTCCAGTCTAATCCGACTGTGTCCCCACAAGATGAGGACACACCACGTGGAGGCACAGACCCGTGAGGAGAAGGCTGTGGGAAGACGGCCATGATCGCGGTGACGGGACCACGGCCAAAGAACGCCTGGGGCCGCCAGAGGCTGGGGAGGCCGGAAGGATCCTGCCCCGGAGGCCTCGGAGGGAGCGTGGCCCTGGCGACACCTTGATTTCCGCCTTCTGGCTTCCAGAACCGTGAGAGGACACATTTTTGTGTTTCGAGCCAGCTAGTCTGCGGCACTGTCACCTCGGCCCTAGAAAACTAACTTACCGTTTATACAGTAGTCCCTCATCCACCCACAGGATCGAACACTGGTGCTGACAACGTCAACTCCACCTAAGTTTCATGTTGAAGTGAACTAAGGCAGACGGACAGACACACAGGGTCTCTTTGCTAGAAGTCCTTTTCGAGTACTAAGTATTTAACAAGCAAACAAAAATCAAATAACCTGGCTTAAAAATGGGCAAAAGACGTTAATGCACATTTCTCCAAAGAAGACACACACCCCACAGGTGTGCGGGAAGGTGCTGAGTGTCGCTGACCCTCAGGCAGACACGCTTCGCCCCTGGGCGGGGCGGGGGGACGTCCTCCAGGACAGACGAGTGTGGGGAGGATGCGGAGAAGAGGGAGCCCTTGCGCCCCGTGGGGGGAACGTGAATTAGTACAGCCGTCATGGAAAACAGCACCGAGAGACTTAAAAAAATTAAAACTGAAACTACCATAGGAGACGGGAATCCCACTGCTGCGTGTGTCCCCAAGGAACCGAAGGCAGCGTTGTGGGCCTGCGAGAGCCAGTCCGGCGAGGTGGCCCGAGGGCCTCGCGGGGCCTGAATCAAGCTGGCGCCAACAGCCATGGCTGATCAGAGATCGCGCCCGGCCTCTTCCTGGCAACCGCACAGCTGCTCAGCCCGGGCGTCCGCAGCCGCCCATCCCTGTTCACGCCGCCGGGACCGACAGCATCCGCCTCGACCCGTCGGAGCTCAGAGACCCGCGTGGGAGCAGCGGGACTTCGCTGCGAAGACGAGCCTCCCTTCGCTCTCTGGGGCATGTCCTCATCTCACACCAAAGGCCGTGTCTCCCCGGTTTGCAAACCGTTTGCTGGAACAAAGTCTCTTTCCTCTCAGTTCCCTCTCGGAGAACTTCCGTTCACAGCATGTTGAACGCACACCGGCACTGCCACGCCCGTTGTGGTGCCTTTCACGGCAGCCGAGACACGCACCGGCCTCCGTGGCCATCAGCGACAAAGGAAGAAACGCGGTACGTGCAGAATGGAATGTTATTCAGTTCTCAAGAAGGAAACCTGCCACTTCCGGCACCGTGGGTGACCCTGGAGGACGTGATGCCAGATACAGTCGGCCGGCACGGAACACAAACCATGGTCCCACTTTCTGTGGGTCTAGAAGTGTCCGGCTCACAGGAACAGCGTGGAGGGCGTCCCAGGGGTCCGGAAGGGGGCGACGGGGAGGTGTGGATCAAAGGGCAAGACTCTCAGTTACACGGCGAGTAAGCTCTGGAGGCCCCATGTGAGGCACAGACGGTGGCTGTGGGTCACGACGTGTCGCCCGCGGGAAGTGTGCGGAGACGGCAGATCTCAGGTATTCTTGCCACATGGTCCATGGTGACGTGTGAGGAGACAGGTACGTTCATGTGCTTGACTGTGTACACGGAACACTAGGTCACACACCGTGAGCATACATAATGAAACACCTCTTTGAAGCACCACGAAGACCAGGTGAAGGGAAGATGATCCATCTGACGTAGTGACACGCTCAGGCCGTTTCTCTGCAACCATCCCTGGTCCCTCCAGGCAGAAAACGTCTCCTCCCTCTACCTAGACCTCCTGTGATACATCCCTT